GGGGGGGAAGATGCTCTACAGGGCTGGGGGGTGCTGTGTCAGGCCGGATCAGGGATGCAGCGCAGGGCTGGGGCAGATGCTGTGCAGGGCTGCCCATGCTCAGCCTGCCCCCGCTGCTTGCCTGGGGGGGCCCAGTGCTGTAACTGGCCTGTGCCCAGCAGAGGAGCCATGGGCGTGGGCTGGCATCTCAACCGTGGGATGCTCTGAGGTGCCTTCCCTGGATGCTGGCTCTGCTGGGGTGTGAGAGCCCAACTAAAGGGTTGTGCAGTAGATTTTCCTCTGGTAGGCTTAACCCTGAGCCCCGGGTCTGGCTACCGCACTGGGGTTTCTGGACCTTGATGCTCTATGGACAGCCTCCCCCCTGGGAAGCCACGTGCTGGCAGTCCCGCACAATGTGCGTGCTGTTAGCAAACCGCCTGAACATCAAGCTTCATTCATCGCCTTCCCCTGTAATGGTGGTGTAGTGCATGTGCAAAGGCACAGGATTTGCAAATACCTGTTATTAATAATAATTTCTCAGACTGCTGGTTTACTGGAGAGAGGTGTTGATGCTGAATTAACCTCCCTGTTGCTAAGGCTTCTGGCTTTGAGAAAAACTACTTGGTTGGCAAACAGAGAAGTCGTCTTAACACCGCTGGGATGCACTTGGATGTGAATTCAACCTTCCTCCTGCTGCAAGTGAGCTGCAGGTGACCGCATTTCTCTCCCCACTCCCCGGGTCCCTTGCTGTCTTCCAGAGCTGGGCACATCGCACGGACCCGCGGGACGCTGGTGGGGAGGGCGTCCTGCCCGCAGCTCTGCTGGTGGGTGACGGCAATAAGCTGATGGTTGGCAATAAGCTGAGAGCTTGTGGGATGCTGAGGCAACGACATGCCTTGCTCAGTACGAGGAAAGGCATCACCGTCTTCCCTGCCTGGGCGACTCTTTCTAGATCCTGGCCGATCCTGGGGGGAACAGGTCTAGTGTAGAAAAGAGGAGGCTGAGCATTGCTTCACCTTTCATGCACGTGGACAAAAAGGTGCAACTGTACCTGTTGGGGATTCAGTGAGGGGACAGGAGCTCTGGGGATCGGCTCTGCTGATGGTTGGCAAACTCCACAGTTTGGGCTGTCGGCACTGAGCTGTCAGACTGGTGGGGAATGGGCAGATTGTTCAGAAGATGGGGAAGGGGAAAAGATGGGTGCCAGTCCTTCCAGAAACAGGTGAAACCAGGAAAAAATAAGGGAATAGCCAACCTATCTCTAAGTTCATAGAAAATAACATGTAGGATCTGTGATCAGTGCAATAGCTGAGAAAAAGTATCCACCCAGTCTGATTACCTGTTGTGACAGATGTTGGGCTTCATACACTGGTTTCATTTAGAAATACCTTTTAATTGCTCCTCGTACAGCCAGAAAGCCAGCGGCGCACGCCGTGAGGTGGCTGCAGTGAAGCTGTTTGGACCAGTGCACGCAGGGGACAATTATCGGTGACTCCTGCACTTCCACGGGGCTGGGGCAGGGCCCCCCGCCAGTGGTTTCATTGCTGGCCCCAGGGATGGAGACGGGCGCGTGCTTCCAACAGTGCAGGCAGCCTGGACTGGGGGTCAGTGCGTTCAAGCTAATGTTGATGAGCTGTGGAAGGGCCGGGCCGTATGGGAGGGTGCGGGGGTGTCAGCTGCACAAACGCAGGGGCTCAGCTGCGGTGTTGGAGGGGGGGAGGATTGCCGGTGGATGTGAATCGGCAGGATCACTGTGTCGTGAGAGAGGGGTGGACGCTGTCCTCGGAGGGGTGGACGGGGGTCTCATCCCATGGAGGGGTGAGACGAGGCTCCTCTCCCCTGCGGTGGAGGCTGTGGCACAGCGAGGGGCAGTGCGCAGCCGCAGCAGCCTGACCTGCTGCGGGGGGCCAGAGGAGAGTGATGGAAGTGGCCAAAGAGCTGGAAATCCTGTGGGCAGGATTTGGGGTTGCTGGGTTGGGGAAGGGCAGACAGGGCTTGGGAAGTGCTTGGGAAGAGGAAGGAGATGAGCTGCTCTCCTGGTGGGTGGAACAAGGAGGAAGGTGTTTAAACTGCAAGACAAATCAAGAGTGAACATCAGGAAAGAAAAGGCAATGCGAGAGAGAGTGGGGCAGTAAGAGGAAACTCACCCGATGCAGGTTTAGAGCACAGGAAGGGATGTTTTTACACAACAGGGTAACATTGGCCCTGGCTGTGGAGAGGTGCCCATAGGTGCAGGGCTGGCAGAGCCCATGGCCAGGACGCGGAGGCTTGGGCAGAGCAGGCTGGGACGTGTGGCCAGGGCTGGCTGTGCTGCAGAGCCTGGCGGTGGGCAAGGAGCTGCTGTGGGCCGGGGGCTCCCAGCTTTACCTTCTGCATGAGGACAGTGAACAAACAGCTCCTCTGCAAAGGCATCGACCCCGTGGAGTGCCCGCTGCTTGAGCCCCCGTGGGCAGCGAGGCTGGGTGTGCTCCCCGTGCTCTCCTGCCAGGGTACCCTGCCTCCCACTCAGACGTTTTGATAAAGGTTGGAGGAGGATGAGCCCCCTTCATGGATCCCCCGGGCTCTGCAGAGGAGCTGTCACTGCGGGACGGCATTACAGGTGAGTGGGAGAAGCTGAAGGCTCAGGTCTGGCCCCAGACAAACCCTTTCCAGGCGCAGAGCCTGCGCTGGCAGGCTGCCGTGCCATGCTTGCAGGGTGCCGCTCACCCAAAAGCAGCTCCACGCATCTCAGCACTAGGAGGAAAAGCTGTCCCATCCCGTGGAGTCGCCTGGTGCCTGTGGGCAGGGTGATGGTCCCAGCGATGCTCCAGCCCTCACGAGCTGCGGATGGGCAGGGGGATGCTCATTTTACCCTTTTACCTGCTGCTGGGCAGAGCCGGCTCTGGGCTGGAGGTGGGGCAGGGCTGTAGCTCTACCAGCCTGAGGATGGTACAGTGCCTTGCTGGGTGCTGGGGAGCTCTGTGGGACCCGTGAGACCTGTCCTTGCTCTGGTCTCCCTGTATGGGGACCCATCGCCTGATGGCTGGCCGTACAGAAGGCTGAAGGCAAGTCTTGGTGCTGCCCGTGGGAAGGGGTCTCACAGCCCAGCCCGCCCTCGGGTCTCTGCTGGTGTTCCTGGGCCAGCTCAGGTCTCTCGTGAGGACCTTTGGGGGACAGGGAGGGAGGAGAGCGGCTCACACCTCCTTTACCTGCAGAGGGTCCCAGAGCATGCCTGGCCTGGCCTTGATGGCAGAAGAGGAGGACGAGGTGGACACGGCCACGGCAGGGAGGGAAGCTCGCCCGGCACCCGTGCGGGCCGGGGACGGCATCGCTGCACGATACTTCAGAGGTGCCGCATGGATAACAACCGCTTGTCCTCAGCCCGCGGCACGGCTGCTCTCGGCACACAGCGGCTTTTTTGTACCTGATGCAGCTCGTGGGACACGGGGGTGATAAATGTGTCGTGGCAGTTTGTGAACGGAGAGGTCAGGAAATAAAGCTGAACCTTTGCTGGTGGCGGTCCTGCCCTCCAGCCCGACATCCCCTGGCTTTGCCCTGTGAGATCCACCTCGTGCAGGTAAAGCTCTCAGAGGGAAGATGATCCGGGAAGCAGAGATAACAGCTCCTGAGTATCAGTGCTGCTGTTTCTCTGCGTCTTTGTTCTCTTGACCTCGGGGATGTGCAGTGTTTGCCACTGAGCTATTATAAGCTGTGAGCATCGTGTTCTGCCTCCCCGCGCTCACCATGCTCCCTGGGAGAAACACTTAAAGGTTAAGTATATGCTGGCCATCGCTTGGTGAGGTTCTGTAGTTGAAAAGACAAACACCAAACAAACGTTGTGCGTTTGGGCAAGAACCGAGGGAGGATTTCAGTTTTGCCCACTGGGGTGGCAGAGCCCGGCCTTGGCCTTGGAGCCGGAGGCAGGAGGGTTGCTCCTGAGCCCGTTTTCTGGTGTGAACCGTTCCCCCTCCCTCTGGAAGAGAAGCAGAAGAAAAACAAATAAACCCAACTTGGTCGATACAGAGTTCAGCTCTGTGTGCCTCTGATCTCTTTATGGGCATTTTTAGTGTTCTGGTTTTGAAGACGAGATGAAAGTCAGAAGAACAAAGCCCAGTGCTGAATTGAGGAGCTGATCTGCAAAGGCGACTTTCGGGAGAGCCGCTGCAGACGATTTCTGCTGAAATCTGCTCAGACGCCATTTCTGTGGAAACCAAACAACAGCTCCTGCCCCCGCTCACGTCTGAGCTCTGCTCGGCCTCAATACCCCATCTCCGCCTGGTTTTTACAGTTCCTCCTTTCAGCGTCCCTGTTAGCGATGGGGGTGCAGGTGGGGGCCATGAGGCACAGGGCTGCCGGGGGGAGATTTCCAGACTCGCGGTGTCAGCAGGACACCAGGTTCCCACGGAAAGCTGATGTGAACCAGACCACAGCTGGGGCGTCTCCGATGCTCCATTACCTGGTGCTGCTCTGGTGCTGCTCTCGTGCTCCTCCGGCTCCCCAGGAGCGGGCAGACCCGTCGGGGTATGGGGGCAGCGTCTGTGCCAGGGGAGGAGGGTCTGATCCTCCGCAGCCCCCGGCAGTGTCTGGTGTTTCCTCCTGGGCAGTGAGGGCCATCAGAGAAGAAGGGGCTGGAGAAGGTGGTGTGGAGGAGCTGCTGCCCACCGTGCAGGCAGGGACGCCCTGTACAGAGCCTGGCGTGGCCCTGGGTGAGAGCTGCTGGAGGCAGCCGGGGAGGGGTCAGGATGCATCCCCCACAGGCCCTGGGAAGGGCTGTGCTGGGGTCGGGCTGGGTGCTGGTGCTGGCGCTGGCTTGCACCGACCGTGGGCAGCAGTCTGGGGACAGGGCATCCCTGTGGGAGCAGGCAGAGCGCTCCTTCGTCTGCACGGGCTGCGGGAAGAGCTTCAGGCATCACTGCACCCCCCGAGCACCAGCACCATCGCTCCTCCACCCTCCTCCTCTGCACCCTCTGCAGCAGGAGCTGCTCGCACAAGGCAGCGCTTGCCATGCACCAGCATACACCCCCTCCCTGGACCCCGCTCCCTGCCAGCCTTGCAGCCCCGGGCTGGGATCAGGGCTCCCCCCAGCCAGCAGACAAGCCTTTCCCCTGCGTGGACTGCGGGGGGGCTTTCACTTGCACCCCTCCCTGCAGAGCCACCAGCGCATCCACACCAAGGAGCATCCCTACCACTGCTCCCAGTCTGGGAGGACCTTCTGCTTCCCCTTGGAGCTAGTGTCGCACCAGCTGTGCCACCGAGGAGTGCCAGCTCCCCTGCCGCACGTTCAGCTCCCAGGTGGGCCTGATCCTGCACGAGCGCAGCCACCCTGGGTCCCAGTGGTGCTTCCATACCAACTGTGGGAAGGTGCTGGTGGGGCTGGCCGAGCCAAGCCAGCACCAGGCAAGGCACATGGACAGGGCACATGGCTGCAGCTGCTGCGGGAAGGGCTTTGGGTGCCTGTCTGAGTCCGTCACGCACCGGTGCCCCCACCCAGGGAGGCTTCACCCCTGTGGGCAGCGCTAGCAGGGTTTTGGGTCCCGTGGTGACCTGCTGACCCATTTTCTGAACACAACAAGCAGCCAGGGCTGCCCGACTGCAGCGGGGACGAGTCCTGCGCTGGCTGGTGGCATGTGCTCGGATGCCTTGCTGCTGCGAGGAGCTCCGTCCATGGGATGCAGGGGGCATCCTCTGCCGGTGCAAAGGGTCCTCTGTCTGGTAGCAAAGTGTGTGGCCCCGGGTTAAGGATGTGCTTGGCTTGCCATGTGGAAGGGGAAGAGAAACTTGAAAAGCATCAGCCCAGAGGAGCTCGCCTTAGATGGGGCTGAGCCACAGCAGAGGGGGGCAAGTCTAATCCAGGCCAGATGTCAGCTTTTCTGTACTCAGGTGCACCGAGGAGGGAGGGGGAAAGTCCCTTCCTTGCACGTTGCAGGTGCTGGGAGGAAAAGGGCCTGTGCAATAAACAACAATGATTAAAAAAACCTTGGAACCAATGGTACAGCGGGCTGTGTTAGTGTGACTGCCTGGGCTGCGGCGGGAGCCGGCTGAACTCAGCCTGGGAAAGCGAGCAGGTGAGACTGCCCTGCGTGGGGCATGGACTGTGCCGAGCCCGACCCGTCCTCCTTGCCCGCTCGCTGTCAAACTGCCGGCCTTGCTCCTGTCACCGCCGTCCCGGGGGTGATGAGCAGCTCAGCTGCAGCAGCTCAGCTGCACTTTCACAGGCAGCCTCTCCAGGGGAGGGCTGAACCGGCTGTAGCTAAACCGTGTGCTGATCTTCTGCATTAAATGTGCACACACGTGTGTGTGAGTGTGAGCCAGCCCATTTGGTAGTGGTGTGTGGTAAAGCAGCATGGACGAAAGCTGAAGGGCTTTGGCAGTGCTCAGGTGCTTCTTTATCGCTGATAAAGTCAGAGCTCGCTCCCGCAGTGGTGTAAATGTGAGTTATCCACAGAGGACGATGGGGGTCTCGGTGAGGGGCTGCGTCAGGACGTGCCTTGGAAACCCAGGCTCGCATCCCCGCCCTGTGCCAGGCTGCAGAGCATCCCTCTCCCTCTCCTCCCGTGGTCCTCCTCTGCAGCGCAGCATCCCGGCTGGCCCTCCCGGCGCCTCCGATGCCGGCTGCCCGGTGCCTGCGGGGTCTGACCCCTGGGCGAGGGGTGCCGGCCGCCCGGCCCGGTGGGCCATGCCAGCACAAGCCTCGCAGAGCCCAGCTGTCAGAGCTGCAGGGCCGCTGCATTTCTTGCCTGGCAGAGACCTCTAGAGTTCACTCTCCTGAACGCTCGGCGTTTCTCTGGTCTCATATGAATGATGCCGTCCACGTCTCGCCTCTTCTGCACAGGCTGGAGCACCGCAGTGAGCTTTTCAGGCTCGCTGCTCATTGAGCTGCATGCTCCCCTTCCCCAGAGCAGCCCCACAGACGTCCCCTATGTGTGACCCAGCTGCCTGGGAGCGCAGGGGCCTCCTCTGCGTGCTGCTCCTCCCGGTGACATCCTCTGTTTCTGGGCTGCCCTCCTTGCTCCTGGGCCCCTGTTCAGCCTGGCAGCCCCAGGGATGCTGGATGCATCCCCCAAGGAAGGCTCCTGCCCACCGAAGCTTCCCGGTACCCATGCTGGCGTGGGGTGGGATGCGGCACATGGCTGGAGCAGGGCTGGGGGCTGCTGTAGGTGCCTCCTGGGGACACCCAGCTGCTCCGCCCAGGGTGGCCACAGCACTGGATGCAGGGAGGCAGTGGCCACAGAGGGGGCAGCTGGAAACTGGCCCGTGGTGGGAAGTGTCCCAGGGCAGGGAGGAAAGCCAGAGACCCTTGTTTAAGCCCTGTGTTTGCAGTGTAGCGGCAGCACATCCCTCCGTTTGTGGTACGGCTCCTGCTCCCTGCTTGGACATGGTGGCTTGGTGCTGGCAGAGCGGGCAGCGAGGATGGGACGTGGTTACTGGCTGCAGAAGGAATTGCTGCCTACCCTGGAGGAAACCCAACTTTTGCCTTGGATAGCTCAGCATTATTCAAATTCCTTCCTAAAATGGGAAGTGAGGGGAATCTGAATGATGCATTTTGAAATGCACAGTGTGAAAGAAGAGAGACAGAAGAATTTTTTCTAATTCTTTGCATGGCTCCCACTGAAAATTTCCATGACTGCTGTGGGTGTTATGATCCCCTGTTGAAGAGCTATTGCCCTCCCAGGATCCTAGCCCAGGGCCTCCCTCTCCAGCCCCTTTCTTACCCCAGGAGCCATGGGGAGGAAGGAGAAGGGGATTTTAAAGGCAAAACTTTTGTTTCGTGTTGTTGCAGTGCCACGGAGAACGTCAGAGCTCAGGCAGCCACTGGCTGTGCCAGGTCCCTCTCATACGGACGTTTTGCAAGGCTGAACGGGTCGCCACTCACCCCAGGCCTGAAACCAGCTGGTGACCTGTTTGCCACGCTCGGCCGGTGCACAGCTCTGTGTACCAGGGGAGCTGCGAGAGGCGTGGAAGATAACATCCTCGCATTTTTAATCAGCCTTGAGTCGCAAACTCTCCCGTCTCCCTCTGCAGGGTGAAGCCCGGCTCTGGCCGTACCAGCCTGGGGAGGTGGCGAGCTGGGAGTTGCTCAGACCCTCTCCAAATTTGGGAAGGATGAGTGGAGACTTCATCCCAGACCGAGCTGCAACCCAGAAGCAGTAATCCCGTGGCAGCCTTGTCTGTGCTTGGCAGGAGCATCATTCCCCCGGCACATGTATCTCACCATCTGTGTGTTGCTCTTTAGGTAAAGAGTGTCAGGAAATATTCAGAGTGCATTCTCACGGAGCACTATAGTTAGCAAGGGTTCCAGCTGGCCACTGCGCTCACTTCCAGGAGGCGA